TCAGTCGGCAGATTACCATATTACACGATTGAGACTGATCAATTATCGTATTACAAATTTAATATGAGAAAATGCAATACGATTACGATAACAAATTTCCATTTTTTCTTGATTTCTTCAAACTACAACGAAAACACAATCAATTATTTCATCTCAAATTTGAATTCATGAATTTTACAACTGAATCTCTTCCTCCTCATCGCTCGCCCTTCTCGCCCACAAAAAAAAACAACTGAAAACCAATAAAATTGACGTCTTCCTCTCGCATCTAAACGACGATGACCTTCGTCTCAGCCGAATTACGGCAATCATCACCATCAAATTATCGTAACGAAACAATAATAATTCCAGCGAAATGCTCTTCTCTTGTACTCAATCGAGCGCTCTCCTATGTTCACCAAAAAATTTCAAATACAATAAGAGTTTAATCGTCCAGTGAGGTGATGCCGATGTGAGGCGCAAGTATTCACATCGATTCCTCCCTCATTCCGCAAATCATCATCTCACAATAACGGTTTCCTTCTCAAGGACAACACCAACAACCAGCACAATAACGAATGCCATCCTACCACACATCACCACCATTCGAATGCATCTATTTGATCGCGGATTATGGGCAAAACTCAATTTCACATAGACAATTTGATGATTGAATCAAATCTCATCGTCAGCGCATTCACAAATCCCTCTTCATCCCGCATCGCATCATTCTTGCACACTTCCCAATGCATTCAACTATCCCAATTGAACCAACGATCCGGATTTCAGCTTATTCCTACGTCTACGAAAAATTCCACACAGCAAAGTTAATCTCGACTCTCAAATCCGAAATCTTTTATTTGCATCGAATATCTGTGCTCATGCATCAAACGACTTCCATTTGAATGCTCGGCTTGCTCATCATCCCACAAAAAACAAGTGAAACCAAATTATTTGCAGCTTCCAAATCGATGCAGCAAATGAACTCAACGCGATCAAATCACCGCCTCATTAAAGCGCTAGTTGAGCTCCTCGCCTGCTCATTTAACAGCAAAAACTACCCCACACCAAATTGTTGGCTCAACGAGAATTCAATTAGACCTCCTCTCACTGTATGTGTTCATGCGCAGATATAGGATCTATCTATATGTATGTCTATTCCATCTACACACACGAATTATCGTTCAAAATGGTAATTTTCACGGAACAGTCGAATGCAATCAAATAATGCCGAGATGCGTGTTGAGTCAGTTTGGCTCATGGAATGCGCACAAAATGCGCAATGAACATCCAATGTTCGATTATTCATGGAATACACTGAAATGGGAAACGAACAATCTGAACAATCGATTCCAAACGATGATGGTTTTGAAAAAAGAGAAAAAAGGAACGATAAGTAACAATTCAAAAATTCAACTACCATTTATTTCTCACCAAAAAACACTATAATTTTACGCTACGATCGCCAGCATTAACGGTTCGTTTCATCTATCATTTAAACACAGACTCGAAGAAAAAGCCTGCTCACTTCAATTCGTTCAACGTGATTTTTACATGGATGGATGAACTGTGACAGTCTAATGAATAAATTTGCACCCAAATCATGTTCTCATAAGAATGGATGAACTACTGAACCAAAATGATCCTGGAATAAGAAGAAACTAGCGGAAAACTAATTCAATAACGATTGGATATTACACCAGCGATTATCATGAAAAATTGTATAAGCATACAGAATTTCCAGATTTTTTACTACTGGCATAACTAACACACAAGTGTTATTTATACAGAATAAGTTTCTATAATCAAGTCCAGCTTAGAAATCTCCATTAG